TTGGAATCTAAAATATTATTTTATCCAAGACCAGATTGGCTCCACTGTATCTCCCACTGCATAACAGGTGTTCCTTGTAATGCTACCTGTGTTCTGGATTATGTGGCTATGGGGGCTGATGCCTAGAAGTGTGTAGAAGAGAGCAGGTTAGGAACTAACGGTATTTTGGTTGTTTCCTGCTGTACTATTATTTGAGTGAAGAACAGACGTCCTGGAGTCCAACCCTCAAATCAATTAAATCATTTCCAACAGTTGTATCATTAGAAAATATGTAGATATTTATGGTGAACTGATTAAGTGGATTATTTTCCTTCCTGTATCCAAAAGAACAGAAATGTGGCTCCTTTGCAGGAGCTGTAGTGCAACAGAGTAAAATGTGGCTGCACTATAGTGAACTCAGTGCAGGATTGTGACCAGTGTTTGGAATGATGCCTGAACCAAAGCAACATCATGCACAGCTGCTTCTTAGTTCATCCATAAATCATGATAATAGCATCTAATTTATATACAGAATTATTTTTATGCTAATGCATAATATAATGATAATTCATATACAGAGTTATTTTTTAACCTTACAGGTGATGGTCGTAATAGTAAAGGAACTGATGAACCTCAGTGTGCTTGGTGACCCTTTTAAACCCTTGAAGTGTTGAATTCAAAGCATAGATGGTGGAATGGGCCCCCAATCACAATTTTTTTTGTTGTTCATTAAAAACAACAGCATTGATTTTCTCAGGTCACAGCTAGGCCATTTTGTGCCGCAAATCTGTGCTGAAAGGGACTCAAGTAATCATTTTTTACACGCTTGACTGCCACGTGCCAGCACTGAGCTTTTTGACCGCATGAATATAGGAATGATTTAATAGAGAAAGTAGCACTGGGCTATTGTGCACATTGAAAGCTCCGTGGAACATGCATGATTGAGTTGGACACCATTAGTAAATAAAACCTGCTAACTTGGCTGGCTTGGAATTAGCTCACAAGGACATAATTGCTACTGGCTTGTCTGGAGCCACTTCTCTTTAGGAAGGCTAGAAAAGTGACCAAGATAATTCATTAAATAATTTTAAAATGCCTTGTACTTAGGGCAATAACCAGATCAGTATCATCCAAATGCAGTAGTGCCAAACAACTGACACAGACATAGTGGATCGAAACCTAGCTTTTGTGAAAAAATAAGCTTTTAGAGGGTGCAAGGAGTCACTGTGCAGCTGGTGGCTGGATGTTATGACCTGTCTGCTATGACCTACATCTTTCCTGGGACTCCCAAATTGCTTGTCAATCTGCCATACTCATTGAGGGGCTGGCCTCTTGAGAAATTGTATTCATTTACAGGTTCTAAATGGTCTGCCTTGAAATGAGGTTAGATAAGGGTACACAGGGCAGATGTGGAAAGATTGTGGCAATGGCTGATAGAATTAACTGGTAGACATGCATGCACAATGGATAAATTGACTGGAGAGGGAAAATGTGGATTTTTATTCAGATTTCACTCCTGAGTTTCCATGAATGAAAAGGTCAGTGCTACAGTGGGGTCTTGACTTAAGAACTACTTGAGTTAAGAACATTTTGACTTAAGAACCGCTCTCATAGGAAAATATTGACTTGACTAGATTGTGGCAATGGCTGATAGAATTAACTGGTAGACATGCATGCACAATGGATAAATTGACTGGAGAGGGAAAATGTGGATTTTTATTCAGATTTCACTCCTGAGTTTCCATGAATGAAAAGGTCAGTGCTACATCATGGTATGCTGAAATACTGGAACAGTAAGAGTTGTTCACCTTGGAGGAAACTTTGTTTATTCCTTGCATTGTTAAGTTGTTGCTACACTTTATTGGTGGTTGGTTTGTGTACTCGGTATCTACACATACTATAAGGCTTATGTTGCTAGGCTCAAATCAAAATCAACAGCAGATATGCCCCTGCTGGAAGACTCCTTGTCAGGTGAAGACCCAGAACCCCCACCAGACACTCCAGCTCAGGAAGAACCTGGACCCTCCAGAGAGCTCTGCACTTTTCCAGCAGAGGGGAGCTCTGCAGTGGAGTCAGAGACAGGTCTACTCCCCAACATCTGAGAGGAGCAATTCCTGGGTAGTACTTTGTTGTTGTTCTGTGCCATCAAATCAGAACTGAGTTATGGTGACCCTAATAGAGCTTTCGAGGTGAGGGGGATATTTAAGGAGTGGTTCTGCCAGTGCCCCCAGTGAATTTCCATGGCTGAGCAGGGGATTGAAACCCAAGTCTCCTGAGTCCTAGTCCATCACTTTAACCACAGATACACACTGGATATGAGGGGGTGCAGATAAGTATTGAGCCTTTCCCAGAAAAAAATTGAGCTAGTAAGCTGTAACTGCTACACTATTCTACATATTCCCTCAGGAAGTCGGTGCACTTGCGACATCTGTCCTGCAGCTTTTTAAGTCCCTGCAAATAAAATTCTTCCAACTGCTGGTGTAACCACTCATTTCCAGCATTAGTTGCCTCCTGAACACTCCCAAATCATTCTCCATTTAGGTGTTTTTTGAGTTTGAGGAACAGATGATAGTCAGAAGGAGCCAGGTCAAGAGAATAAGGTGGATAGGGCATCACTTGAAACCCTAAGGAAGTCAGTTTTACCATTGTTTCACCTGCAGTGTCTGATGAGGCATTGTCATGCAACAGGATGACACCTTTGGAGAGCTTCCCTCAACGTTTTCTCTTGATGTTTTGCCTCAACTTCATCAATAAACCACAGTGATATTTTGCATTGATGGTTGAACCCTGTTGGAGGCAGTCCACCAGCAGAACTCCCTTCTTATCCCAAAAAACTCTTGCCATTTGCTTCTGCACCGGCCTTTGCACTCAGAACTTCTTTGGCCTGGGGGAACCACTGTGCCTCCATTCCTTAGACTGTTCCTTTGTCTCAGGATCATAACAGTAGATCCATGTCTCATCACCAGTTACCAGTTTGCCCAGGAAATCTGACTCATTTCTTCCAAAGTGTTCCAAAACAGCCACCGATGACTCCATAAGTTTCCTCTTTTGTTCAGTTGTCAAAAGTTTGGGGATCCACTTTGCTGTCAGCTTTCTCATTTCCAAGTCGTTGTGGATAATGGTACGAACTCTCTCACGTGATATTCTCAGATATATAGCAATACTTCTGGCTGATATTCAGTGGTCCTCCATGATCATGTCACGGATGGCTTTCACATTTGCAGGGACAGAAACAGAAACAGGCCTTTCACTCGGTTTCTCACTTTCCACACTGAAAGGGCCAGTTATAAAATTGACACCCCAACGTTTAACTGTTGCATATGAAGGGCCACTGTCACCCATAGTTTGTGACATTTCATTATGGATCTGCTTTTCACCTTTCCCTTGGAGGAACAGGTACTTGATTATGGTCCTATGATCTTCTACATTGAACTTTTCTGGAGGTGCTGCGATGTTCACTTTGGACCTGAACATGAAAGCTAAGTTAAAATCATAGGTAGTTGGTTTTTGTGCCATTGAATACAGACAAATTGGCCAATACACCTTGCAATTTATAGCTTTCTCCCAACTTTGCTTCTTTTTGCTTTCAACAACATGAATTTGTTGTTTAGTCGTTAAGTTGTGTTTGACTCTATGTGACCCCATGGACCAGAGAATGCCAGGCCCTCCTGTCTTCAACTGCCTCATGGAGTTGGGTCAAATTCATGTTGGTAGCTTCAATGACACTGTCTGACCATCTCATCCATGAATAAGCACTTACAAATGGAGTTCAAAGATGACAATCCCGATACACAGGATTCCAGTGAGTCAGATCCACAACTAGATCAACAGAAAAGATATGGATCTGCTTCCAGAACTGCAACTAATAATAATCTGAAATGGGTAGATAGTGTACCAAGGCAAGTGGGGGTTGTGATCTTGTTGCTCAGCTGCTCATCTTTTTATCCATCCCTTCCTGAGAAAATCCACATGTTGGCTTAACAATAGCAGTTTCTAAGTTTGTAGCAGAAAGTACAACTGCCAAATAAGATCTCTTTTACAGGCAGAAACAAAACAGTGCTATACGAAACCCTAATTCTATTTATTATCAAAAGCTTCAGCTTTTTCTAAATATTTTTTTAATTAGCTACTAAAATTATTGGAATAATAATATCAGCTGGGCAAGGGGTTTCTAGTAATTTTTCCAAAATAAAACAAACAACACTTTGGCAATACTTGGTAAGAGTTTGTGTCCAATATGCTTCTTAGAATCATCAAAATTATTTTATTTTCACTAAAAATAATCATTATGTGTGCCCCCTTCCCCTTTAGCACAGGACTAATTTTCAGCAGTCAAGAAGTTCCCTTTAGATTGTAGCTCTGGAGGCAAAAATGCTGAAACTGAGGCTGTCCTACTTTGAGCACATCAGGAGAAGACAAGATTCTCTGGAAAACACGATGATACTGAGTAGAGATGGGGTTAACGAGGGTCCAGCCCCTTGGGGCCAGGCTATCCACTCATGTGTGCGGCAGTGGCTCCTCTCTTCCTACATTGCTCACAGAGCCCTGCTGAGCTAGCCACTCCTGGCAGTGGGAGTGAGGATGAGTCTTTCTGCAAGGCTGCTGAGTCGCTAGCCAAATGGGGCTCTGGGAGTGATTGGAAGGAAGAGAGGGGCTACTACCAGATGCGTGAGTGCCGGACCCTCATTAAGTCAGGCTGTGCGGGGTTATTCGTATACTAATACGAATACCCCCCATCTCTAATGCTGAGAAAGGGTGAAGGCAGCAGGAAAAGAGGAAGACCAAATACAAGATGGATTGACTATCTAGGTGACGTGATGGCAGAACAGCAACAACATAGTGTTTTTCAGCTCTTCTCTCACCTCATAATTCTCATTCCACAAAATGCCTCAGAACTATGTTTCATAACACAGAGCTAAAGGGTAATCTCCTTCACTGTATTTATCTTGCATGGTGTAAACTTTTTGTAGGACAAAAGATGTACCTTTTAATAACAAAACTTTATATTTGATACTGTTTAGGTTCTCAGAGACGGAGACTCATTCCAGCTTTATCACTCGACACAACATCTCCTGTACGGAAACCTACCAGCCCAGCAGTACGCTGGGTGGATGGACCCCTGCGAAGTGCCCAGAGAGGAATGGGGGAGCCCTTTGAGATCAAAGTGTATGAGATTGATGACGTGGAGAGGCTCCAGCGACGGCGCATGGGGGACAACAATGTAAGACCATTCTAATAGACAGATGTTGCTTCCTTTTAAGTGCAAAGATGGCAATTTTATCTTACTCCACTTTGCTCAGTAAAGGAAATTTAAATAATAAAGAAGCTGTGCCATAGGCAATAACTCTTTATATCCTATTCAAGATCCTCATTTATTTCATAAACTAACACTGAACCCGAAACACCCATTTAAAACCCAGAGTTTGGAAAGATGTTACAGCTAGTAGAGTTACCTACAGTAAATTATAACAGTGAATTATAATGTAACGCGTTACCGACCACCATAGATGCCTTATATGCTGGGACTTTAGTGCTGGAATATGAGCATTATATAGCATTTACCGAACATTAGTATTCTGCTTTCAGAACCAAACTAGGTATTACATTGAGGAGTAGATTGTCTAGTCCCCATTTCTAAGCTCATGAGACTGCAGTAGCCTTCCAAGGCAGAAGAACAAGCTGGAGGGAAGGGCACCTGATGGCATTTAATTCTCCCTGCAATGTATCTCCCTGCAATATCACCTCACTCATTTTCTGTCAGATAGGTTCATTTCTGATTTCAAACACTAGCCAGGAGAAAACACTGACACAGGAGATGCATTTATAAGGGGGGGGGGAAACAGGTTTTGTGTTGGAAGGGCAAACATCTCAGCCCTACCCATGGTTCCCTCATACCAAAACCCCTTAGCACTTAGTGAGGGAAATATGGACCTGGCAACCCAAAGTTTTTTAGTCAGACACTTGTAACACAATTTTGTTTTTTGTTTTGTGCTTTTAAAACATGAGCATGCTTAAGGTAATGATAATAAAATACTTTTCCCATTCAAAACTGGGAAAAATATTTTATGTATTATCATTACCTTAAGCATGCTCAGTCTAAGGAGACGCCTGATCGTTATCTGTGTCAGATAAAGCACAATAATCCAACAATCCCTTCAGTGGCAAAGGTTTACTTGTTTAATTAATTAATTCCCATCACTTTCCTCATCTAAATTTCTGAAATTCTTACTACTGAATGGAAAACAGTTTAATTGGGGAAAATCTAATCTTGCCTCATTTTTTCCCCTTCCGTTTCCCCCCTCCCCCTTTCTCTTCACATGCCTTATTGGGCAGGAGGTGATTTGTTTCAATGCTAAACTGAAGATCCTGGAACACCGGCAGCAGCGAATTGCAGAGGTCAAGGCCAAGTATGAGTGGTTAATGAGGGAGCTGGAAGTCACCAAACAGTACCTGATGCTGGATCCTAATAAATGGCTTACTGAATGTAAGATATCATTGCTATTTTTTTCCCTCTGTTTAAGGAATATAAAAGTTTACGGGTGTTAGAATAAAACCATGAGCCACAGTATTCATAAGCGAAGACTGAGCTGATATTGATTTTAGACAGGTTTGAACTGGCTATGTTTCCAGACCTAAGCTCTCAAATGCTTCTCTTAAATTGTGACACTGGAACCAAGCGGGCCCATTTGTTCAAGAGCTGAATCGAGGAACTGGAAGGTACTTTAGTCAGGAATATTGCCGTCATTAGATTATGCGTCTCACTCCACAGCTTCTGAAAATTAGATTTTTATTTTTTTGCTTGCCTGTTGCTCTCAGGTTGCCCAGACATATGAATTATATTATAAATTTGCTCCCTGCTGTGAAATAATACTTTTGAGGCAAATTTGACCCTTGGTTGAAAGAGATTAATTTAGTTTGCTATATATACTAAGTTCATACAACTCAGCTGTAAATGAATTACTACATTCAAAGTATGAAGGATACTTCTAAAGAGGATTTTTAATTTTTAAAAGATGCAGACACAACCAAAACTATATATATAATTTTGATACAAATTGCTTTGAGCTGTCAGGGAGCAATGGGTGGGGACTCATTATTTTTTTAAAACCCAGTGGTTTTCATACTTAGTACTAGCAGACAATCTGATCTTGTATAAAACCAAAGGAATATTCCATGCTTACAAAGAAAAATGTTCCATTTTATCAGAGGCATAAAATGTTATCTCCGTTGACAGAGATGTATATGTTAAAAGGGAGAGAATGTATAACATCTGCAACAGCACTTGTGATAATTTTTTTACCTGTTCGATATTAACGTATTATATATAATGAAAAGGAAACCCAGTATGACTTCTTGGCCAGACTGTTTGGGTGGAGTTGTCAACTGCTGGATAGGTGCAGAGGAGAAAGTGACATAAAAATACTTGCTATCACCTATAGAACCCAGCTAACATGCTGAAGGGGGCTAGGGGTGTTCCTGTAGGGATGTTCCAATTAGTACTTGGCATGAGCCACTAATAGTTAGTTCCAGTGGTGAAGAGGCAGAGAAGCACCTACTGGGCAAAAGTAGTAGTGGAAGGTAATAAGGATGGAGGATCTTTCATAGACAGCAGCAGTGACCCTCAAGATAACTTTTGTTAGTACTGCTGACAAGAAGGCAATGGTTAACCACTGGTGGATATTTCTTACATCGAAAACCCTATAAGACAATCCAAAATTAAACAAAAGAAAGTGGGAACATGTGACTCCCAGGTTGGAAGGTATTCCATCAGCCACTGGGGAAGAGCAAAGGACAAGTACAAATAGCGCTGTTGCTAATGATGCACCTAAATTAAAACTGAAAGGACATTTGGTGGCCAACATGCACAGAGGTGAAAGGAAATTCTGATGCTTGCCAACCATACAATTAGAACATGAAAATAAGAAGTATAAATCAAGGTAAACTGGAAACTGTAAAGCAAGAAATGAAACATTTGTGCGTTATAGTACTTGATGTGAGCAAACAAAAGTGAACAAGAATATTTTCAGTCAGACAACTATAAAGTGTTTTATTCAGGAAATGGCAAATTCAGATGATATATAGTAGCTCTAATAGACAAGATGTAGTTCAGGCAGTTAGGGGTCACAGTGCAAGCTCTGACTGAATATGAGAAGATGGAAACTGGAATACAAAAGTAGGAAACAAAACTGAACCAAATCTTGGAGAATTTGGCCTTAGGGTCGGAAATGGAGCTGGAGAGTGATCCACAGAATTCTGTGAAGTCAACAATCAGATTCTTACAAATACATGTCTCAGGCAACAAAACAGATGATTGCATACCTGAATACCACCACCATATGGCCAACATGGAACTCAAATTGACTACATAGTTGAAAGTAGGAAATGGAACTTCTGCCAAAAGAAAAGGAATAGAAGATTGTCTTACTGGTCACAAGTTAATGATGGTTAATGCCAAAAACCATTGCAGAGCTGAAAAAAAACATTAAAAGAATCAGTAAAAGAAATATAATATAAAGAACATTTTTATTAATTTGAATTCCACATAAAGAATAAATTTGCATTTCTAAATTCAACTATCATTGAACCAGAAGAACTATGGATTGAAACCACAGATATTACTAATGAAGAATTCATTCATTCATTCATTCATTCATTCATTCATTCATTCATTCATTCATTCATTCATTCATTCAATTTACTATATACTGCCCATCTAGCAAACTTCTACTCTGGGTGGAATACAACAAATTAAACATAGATTATAAAACATACATAAATCATAACCAAAGACAGGTGGCAAAACAGTTTCTGGAATATTCTACAGTTTCTGGAATATATACTATATTATTCGTCTCCTCTTTCCACCAGTGTCGCAGCTATTCTCCCCAAAGGCTTCTCTGAACAGATCTGCTTTTAGGAGCTTTTTAAATATGCAAAAGACTTTTAAATATGCAAAAACTATTTAAAGAATTTAAAAAGAAGCAGGGTCAGAATCCTGAATGCAGCTTTGCTGTGAGTATAGTGTAGAAATAAAGATAATTACAATGGCCAGTGCAAAAAGTTAGAAAAGAGCAACAAAAGAGATTGGGGGGGGGGAGAGAGCTGTTCCAGAGGATCAAAACATTTTTCAACCTAGATTATGTGACCACCAAAATTAAAACTGGTCATAGTTGCATGAATTATAACCTCCTAACACGAGGACATGATATATAACCAGGATAGGATGAAGAGAAATATACTAAAGACCTATACAAAAAGTGACAGGTTCTTCTCTAAAGAATTAGAAAAGAACAACAAAAAAGGGGGGGGTATAATATGGAGAAAAGTATGCATTTATCTCCTTATCTGTTTAATCTGTATGCAGAACATATACAGAAAGCTGAATTAGATTCAAATAAAAGAGGAAGGAAAATTGGTGGATGAAACATCAGTAGTTTAAGATAGGCAGATGACACCATCTTGCTGTCAGAAGGTAGTCATGACTTGAAATGACTTTTAGTGAAATTGAAAGGAAGTGCCAAAGCAGGACTGCAGCTGAATATTATGAAGACAAAAATCGTGGCTTTAATGTTGAGAATGAAGAAACTGAAATTGTTAAATATTTTAATTGTTAAAGCAGGAAAAGTTGAAGACCATATATGTTAAAGATTTATACCTCAGAAATTTTCAACATCAATCTAACTGAGGATTTGCAGCCAGGACATCAAAAGAAGACCGAGACTCAGAAGGGCAGCAGTAAAGGAACTAGAGAAGACCTTAAGAGTAAGGAAGAGTCACAGGAGACCAAGGCCAAGATCATCCACAGTGTTTGATCCCCAGTTACTATCTGTGGGTTTGATCGCTGGACAGTAGTGAAAACTGACAGGGAAAAATGTGTTTAAAATGTGGTGTTAGAAGAGAGTTTTGTGGACAACCTCAACTATAAAAAAATGTACAAGTGGGTTTTATATCTAATGAAGATTGAGCTCTCTTTAGAAGCAAAAATTGGTAAAACTGAGGCTGTTGGACTTTGGGCACATCATGAGAAGACAAAACTCGCTGTGGAAGATACAGTGGTGCTGGGAAAAATGGAAGACAGGAAAAGAGGAGATAGATTGACTTCATAGCCATAGCATCGAGTTCAGAAGAGCAGTGGATAGATTACTTCATAAAGGCAGCCATAGCATCGAGTTCAGAAGAGCAGTGCTGTCAATGACAGGACACTTTGGAGGACACTCATTTATAGGGTCACCATAAGTCAGAGGTACCTAGACAGTGTATAAAGACAAGAACAAAAACATCACCCAGTTCAAACAGATATTTAAATAGATATACTAAAAATAAACCACAAAACCGCAGATGAAGTCAGCACGTGCTACAGCTACAGCCCTGACATGGGAAGCATTTAGTTTCTTTGGCTTTCAAGTAACAGGAATCCTAGAGCCAGAATGGCTACTGTGAGCTGTAGTGCAAACGACCAAATGCTTCCCATTTCTGATGAAGCCAGATTAAGAACACTAGCAAAGAACAAAAGCACTACAGCACGAAAACCAAAATGAAAACAACAATGAGATAGATAGTGCTTGTACTGCAGAAGAATCTGTGCAAGTGAGGTAGAATGCAGTGCTGCTAGTACAATAAAGATTAATGTCAAGAAGGTTTAAGGCCTGATGTGAAGCTTTTCTGTGACAGCAGCATTGCACTCCATCCCACTATATGTGACATGTGCATGTCTGAATTAACTCTTAAGGGTTTCACAGGTAAGAAATCCTGTTCTGGCCATGTGTCCTCTCCCTACCAGCTTTCCTTTGCATTCTCACAGTTGACTTGGAGCAAGTATTTGACTTGGATTCCCTGGAATACTTGGAGGCTCTCGAATGTGTGACTGAGCGGCTAGAAAACCGTGTCAACTACTGCAAGGCCCACCTCATGATGATCACGTGCTTCGACATCACTTCGAGGCGTCGGTGAAAAAGATCCATCTTTAAGGTTTGGGCTACTGCTGCCCCCACCCCACCCCCATTTCTTTCTTTTGAACAGCACCCCAAAGACGCAGAATGAGAATGAAGGTTGGTGTCACGTTTTGACTGTTTGTGCATGAGTGTGAGCTGAAATGTTTTTTCCCGCTCTCTGTTATGCCGAAGAGCAGAGCATAAACTGGATAGATGATGAGGATGAAAAGCAAAGACGCTGAGGAAAAAAAAGGATGTGGATTCTCCTAGCCTGAAAGAGCACTTTGAGAAATCTTTAAGGACATGTTTGTACATAGGAACTGCTGGCAGAAGTGACTTTTTCCTGAATAATAACGGAAGAGGGAGGCAGAGCAGGTGTAGGAATGCCGCTGCTGAGAGCACCATTAAAGTAAAATACACAGAAAAACTGTCTTAAGTGCCTTGCAAACCTTTATTATCCAAACATTTATGTCCATACGTTGTCGTGTACAGATGGTGCTAGTCACGAAAAAGAAAAAAAGACAAAAAATCAATCCTTTTTGTTTCTGGAAATGTATTTACAACTTGTTCACTCCCCCTCTCCCTTGGTGTTTTATCCTGTTTCTGACTTGCTGTTTCTATGTAACTTGTGTTTATAGAGATATTTCATAACTGATGCAGCATATAAGTAAATGTTAACTGTGTTTTCTTGTTACACATCAGAGTAAGGCCACTCAAAGGAAAAGCTCCCACATAAACTTTCAAAATAATTAAGAAAAATGGAGGAAGAAAGGTTTCCCCCAACTCTTGTTGCTAAATAACACAGTTGTGGATTATCCAGCAACAGGGCAAGACTGAGCATTGACCTCACTGATTAAAATGGGGTCATTCGGGGTTTAAGCAAGCACTGAAACAATTTTATATACCAAGCGTTTTCAATAGATGTTCAAATGAAACATTACAATGGTTTCTTCCTGGGGGATCATTGTAGCCATCCTGTAGTTTGTGGTACACAACTAAGTCTATCAACTGCCCATTCTTAAATGGGGCTGGGGGTTCTTGTACCAGATCTGTTCTGTGATAGGGCTGAAAATAATAGGCTTGTGTAAGCTGATCCTTGCTTGTGTGTAGGCAGGGTTCCTGATTAAGGGAGCTCTGTAGCAGTGTTCAGCTGCTACAGAGCTTCAGATAGATCTTCACATCACAGTCTTCTCTTATGTCCAATGGCGCTGGGCCACATCAAGGTGAAGCTCACTTCTGCATCCTTTCCCCAGTTTAGAATTACAAGACAGTTGGCAAATTTTATGTGACCACCAAAATTAAAACTGGTCATAGTTGCATGAAATATAACCTTACAAGGGCACTTTTAAGGGCCATTTAGAAGAAATAAATAATCACTGTTTAACCTACAGCTCCCATCAGGCCTAGCTACCATGTGTAGTGGTTTGAGGTGATGGAGGTTCCAGTCATAGATCAATTGTAGGATGACCATTTTCTGTCTGTGTTCTAAGGGAACATTTACATTCTGTACCTTGCATCATCAGATAAAAAGTTGGACACACCTCAGTCCTACACTTTTCTGTTACTAGGTTGTAAAAAGTAAGAACTTGCCTGCTAAAATTACAGTACTTTGTGTGAAATACTGTCCAGCATAAGTTTCAGAAAATAAGACACGCCAACTTTTTAAGAAATCAAGTTTTTTTGGATCATTTGATTTCTAAATGTACCTTCTTTGTCCTTCCATTGATAATCACCATTTTACATAAGGAGGACCTTGTGTTCTGTTCAGCTTGGAAATAAATACAGGTGACATATGACCACTTGGCTGGCCACTCATCATTTTTCTTGTGCATTTAAAAGCAGAGCAGTGTTTTAGCATTCTGAAGACACTGGTGCCTCAATGGAAGTCTGAGGGGAGTGCCTCCCTCTGGTTTATGTCAGGAAGGGGACACACTGATTCTGTGCTATGAATCCTTAAAACTCTTCCTAGTCTTGACATTGGCCATGCTGGCTGGGGGATTCTGGGAGTTTTCATTTTAAAAAGTAACTTTACCAAGCTGTCTGTAACAAAAATGAAGATTTGGGCCTCCCCTCTGCTAGCAAAATGACATTACACTGAATATCTACTTAAAGTTTCTTGTTTTTAAGTTAGTTATTCTTAGACACAAAACAAGACTTTCAGAAGTGTTAGTTGTCATCACCATAAATTACCGTCACTCCTGCTTTATTAAAAATTAATCTGTGTTTTTTGTCACCAAAGGAATACCAGATTTTCTGCTTATGTGCTAAACATGTCAACAATACATTTGCAGATTTTTTCCAGACCAAATAGTTTCAATCAAGAGGGGCTGCACAATCCCCTCCCATAGGTTCCCTGAGCCATTCAGCCATAAATAAGATCTCTGATGTTAAAATGGAGCTTGATCCCATTCCCAGTAAGTATGCATTGAGGATTCTAGCCTTGTTATTACATGGCATCAAGTTGAATTAATGACCTCTGAAAGGTCCTATCATGAACTTCCCTGTTCTAGTCCTAGTTTTATAAATATGTGATCAATTATATATTAGATGTGAAATATTCTCCTCTGAAGCAGTATTGTAGGGTCCTAACAGATCAATCAGATGTAATCAGAACATTATAAAAATGTCAGCAGCAATTTTGCTTTTCAGAAAATGATAGCACAAGGTGTTTGCGTGTTTTCTATCTAAAGCCTTGGTTAAAACTTGGGCAAGGTATTTTTTTAGACTACAGCACTGAGAACCCTCCAGCTAGTGTGGCTATGAGCTATACTGCCTTGGGTATTGTAAACTATGTCAACAAAGTAACTTTCAAGCTTCTGTTCTTGTTGATAAATAAATAATATGGACACCTTTATTCAAAATGGAATGATCCTCATAGATGTTAGAAATATTCAAGGGGGAAGACCAAGTCCATAATCACTACCAGGGATGTACACGTAGAGACGCAATGTCATTTACTCAGTTATTCTAGTCCGGCTCAATGAAGGACATGGGAGACTTCCATTATCAGTGTGAGGAACTTCGTGCATGAATTGATCTTTAGCATCTGCCTTCCCTACCTGATCCCACAGCCAGATGCACATGTAAAGACCATTCTTAATAAAGTGCAAATGCTATCATTCTGCCTTTTGGGAGAAGAAGCAGATCATTGTCTTCAAAATCAGTAATTCTCTGAGAAATGATATATCAGCAGAATTTTACGAGGTCGGGAGACATCTATGCAAGCAGCGTTCACCCTAACTTTTTTTGAACTGAAAAATAACAAGAGCAGGCCTTGTTGCTGGGCCCCATCTCACAATGGAATCAGAATAATAGAGTCAGCCAGTAAGAGCTGTTTCAGGAATATAATATAGCAGTATGACAATTAGCAGTGTTTGACTGTAATTAAATTAATGGCTTGCTGTTGTGATGAGTATAATATCACTCCTATTTTGGACTTCTAGCTGCACAAAGACAAAATAATGCACGTGCTTCCCTAGCCATAGCAGTGCTTCTGTTTTGGAAGCATTAAGGGTTGTGAATCTAATTCTGGTTTCTCATATAAATTCAGTTGTCTTTGACTCCCACTTATGGAAGTGCAAGTAAAGTCTTCTTGTTGTTGTTTTCAACCACAGCCAGTACTTGGCATGAGCCAAGGAAGAGTACAGTGAACATCTGTCCAATTAAAGCATGCAATCTGGGTAGTTTTTTCATTCATATGCAGTCAGATAGATGATTGAGAGAGAATGACAAGCATATAGGCTGTCCCTGTCTACTTGTATCAACAGCCACAGTGTTTCAATGTGTGTTCCTCCCTCTGTCTCCCTGGGATCAGGATGCATGTCTTCCATAACATTTCTTTCAAATCTCATTCCCCATTCTTGTGACCAGCATTCATGTGTTTGACATTTTCTTTTTTTAAAAAAATTAAAATCAGCAGTTCTGATAATACCCCACAATCTGAATTTACTAGAGTGCAACAAAGCATTTCAGCTTGCTAGAACCAACATATGATTCTTGCCCCTTAGGAGTTTGAAGACATCCCCTGATAAATTATTTCCAGTTATTTGGAGAGAACTTCACTAGATCAGGCTAAGGGGACGTCTGTGCGTGTATCACTTGCTAACCTGGGACCTGTAGGTAACCTTTGGATGCTCATGAAACACATGGAAGTCTGCATTCTTGGACCCCATTAGATGGGACATTGGGAGACTGCAGCAGTTTTCTGAAAGGCTAAATACAAGTGATGGGCTTTCTGATGCTGACAGAGCTTGCTCTAGAAAAGAACAGTTTTAAGCCTTCTATCTGAGCCATTTTACAAACTCTGATCTCCGTTTGTAATCTGTTTTCCCCATGAGGAAGATTCAATTCTTGAAGGGCAGTTTGGTGAAGAACGAATGTAGAAATCCTGTTCCATTCGTTCCCAAATCACTTGCAACAGGGCATAGTACTAGCACACTATTTCCTGTTGTCAGGTCAACCATCCCTGGCCCTATGTTCCATATCTATGATTTTAAACTCTTCTTGGCCCTAGAAAGCAGATATGGTTCTTAACAACCACTGCACACACATATTTCTCAGTTTGCTGGGATAAAACAACAGGGTTGGGGGAGGGTGAGTGTAGGCAATAAAAGAAATGCATAGAGAAACACAGGCAGAAATCTGTGTGATACATTATGTGTTTGAGTTAATGTAATTTCTCATGAGCAGCAAAGCATAACTTATGAAGCTTGACACTAAGCTATGTCAATAAAACCTTTACAACCCCACTCACCAGCCACCTGACCATTTATGTATGCCACATTTTATGGAAACTGTATTTTAAAAATAAGTATTGTGTTACCATGTATGCTGCTTCTTCAGTTTATAAAATCAAGCTGCTGTGTTTGCCTCATATAAACCTTTGAAAAATTTTAACATCCATAAAATCAATAGAAAAACACATTTGGGTGTAACTAATTTAACATCTGATGTACTCTAGACTTGCCAGGTTAGCTCTGTCACCCAAGTAATACAAACAGGGACAGTATGACTAAAACAAAGAGTAAATCTTTGTGCTCTCTCTTTCTCTCTGCACACTCACCGTTACCACTGTTGTGATATTTCTAGCCCCAATATATGGGCTTGTCCAGTTGGTGTAGAACTGCAACAAAGCGTATGAGCCATTATATTTAAAAATTTGTTCTCTGGCCATGTTGAGGCAAAGAGTTATACCACAGACATTTTGGCATCAATATGTGTGGCCATGTTATATATACACTACATATACATGATGGTAAAAAACACACATAAGATGAAAGAATCATGCATCCAAAATGTAGTTTTAGAAGAGGTAGCTGTGTTAGTCTGGGCTAGTATATTATGCCAAAAGAAAAGAGAAATCAAGAAGACAAAACATTGTGGCATAATAAATGTTATGGTTCATATTTTAGTGTAAGCTTTTGTGGACAGTTCACTTCCTCAGACAGGAAAGACTTGCCCACAAAGCTCACATTAAAACGTACTAATTAGTCTTTAAGGTGCCCCAATGTTTTTGTCTTCTTTATTTCTTTACTTTTCTTTTCTTTTGTCTTGATATGCATCCAAAATGGCTGCTGCTTTCTTGCTGTGATCATAACCAAAATGTAAAACATTACATTCTCATTAAGTAGTGACATGCTATCACAAATGTCAGCAGACTAAACGTCAGCCCATATATTCTCATTGCTGTACTTTACTGTAGTGTGCAGCAGCGTGCTGTATCGTAAAATATCTGCTGTGATGATTTCTCAGAACATACAGGATTTTATAAAACTAATATTATTTGGGATGGAGTAGCTGATAGCATCTATTTTGTGTTACGATTACAAAATAATAAATAGACACTCATGATTAATAGAAACATCCAGTCAAGAAATGAAAGCCACCCATCATACTTTTGTAAATGATTTCCAAATTAACATTTTTAATGAAAGATTTCCCTTTGGTCCAGGCTTAATATACAGGCAAAATCCTGTTTATGCAGGCATAATAAAAAAGATATGCCAGTGTAAATATGTCAGATTTTATGCCCATGAACAAGGCATCACACTCTTCAATTACACAACCAGTTGCATGTCTCCAGCACAACCAACTGTGCAATGTGCTGCTGAAAGTGCTTTGTGGACAGCACATGCGCCTCAGTGCTATTGCAGCAACCACAGG